TTAAGGCCACTTGTGTTCCAACTTGTCATTCTAGTACCATGTGGCCACTATCCGCTTGGCTGGTTTCTTTTTCCTCCATTAGAGGTCTTCTTTCTGGGCAAACTGTCCTAGGGGAGGGGAGAGGGAACAGATGGAGAGCCTCATCTCATTTTGTTGCAGTGGGAGGAATGGCCTTCCACAACCTTCTACATACTGCCCAGAAGAGGAAATTTCCTAGGTTTAGAAAATCAGAGGTTTTTTCTTTTCAAACTATTATCTCGAGCCTGTGTTTCGAAATCTTAGAGTTGTTTTTTCTTTCTTGACAAATGTCTGCTGTAATGTCATTACTTTGAAGCTCTGGGTATCAAAAATATGAATCACTGTTTTTCAGACTATAGATCACAACCCATTAGTGAGGTGTGAAATCAATTTAGTATGTCTTGCAAGAATTTTTTAGTAAAACGAATAGAATAGAATAGAATAGATGCAACAGAAAAAAGAGAAAGGACACAAATAAACAAAATCAGGGAAGAAAGAGGGGAAATTACGACTGATATCACAGATATACAAAGGATCATACAAACTTAACTTAGAAAAATACAACCTCCCTAGACTGAATCAAGAAGAACTGGAAAATCTAAATAGAATAGAATAGAATAGAATAGAATAGAATAGAATAGAATAGAATAGGTTGAGTGCATCACATATAGTAAAGATAGTATTGTTTCATGAAATTTTTGTTTCACTTGTGTGTGTGTATGTGTGTGTTCTGGTTTGTGATGTAAAACTTATTTGTTCTTATGGATTTAAAACTCACTGGACTTTAGTTTAAACAGAGGAAGAGCCAGAGAGGGGAGAATAAATTACCAGAAACAAACATATTAGTTGAGTATAGACAACTTTTTGGAGAAGTTTGTCCATGAATGGGAAGTAGCTTGATTAAAAGCTGCTCTTCTGGCCCCAGAGAGCAAGAGGGAGCCCATGTGAGGAAGGAACCATAAGCATCAGGAAATATAAGCATCAGGGAAGAAAAATCTTGTGAGGCTTAGCTTCTAATGAGATTGGTACGTGTGTATGTGTGTGTGTGTGTGTGTGTGTGTGTGTGTGTGTGGTGGGGGAAGGGACAGGTAGGGGTTGCAGGGAGAGCTAACAATGAGATATGACTGAAGCTGGATTAGTAAAGGCCGTGAAAACCCTGAGAGAAGACTATGTAGCTCTTGGTGCCACGTCATGGGCAGTCCAGGGAAGAAAGGCCTTGTAATTGACAAGAAGAAAGTTCAGCTGAAGAGATGAATAGGCATGGGGGTGGAGTGAGGCTCTTCTGCTAACCTATGATTGGTGCTTCAGGGTCAGCAAAGAATCTAATTCCAGCCACAGACCTGAAGAGACTGTGACTAGAATGAGTGCCAGTGTCCTCTTCACCTTCTCCCTACTCTTCCAACACCAAACACTCACACCACTGACCTGCCCATTGAGGCCCACAGATGTAGCAGAAAGCGTATAGACTCCGTAATTGCAAGACCCTGTATCTCCATCTACTGGCTGGGTGAGACTGGGCTTGGGGGTCTCCTTATGTCTAAAGCAGAGCGGGTAAGACCTTCTGCACAGGTCACTGGCAGGTATGCAGGCCCATTACTATGTCCTGGTCTGGCATACTTAGAGGGCTCAGGAGCTCAGAGCTGCTTTTACTCCCAGCGACTACATTGGCGGATGGAGTTCTGGAGGAAGGTTGTGACACAGTGACCTGGCTCCTGGCCCTGAAGTCTCCCAGATCCCAGGTTTGCTCACTAAACTGCCAGGTATCAGCTTGGGTTTGCTCTGAGGCATGACAGTCAATAAGCATAGGGACAAAGAGGAAAGCACAAGACACATCGTAGTGGGTGAGGCACACGTGCTCATGTCTTTGGACAGAAAACTGTTCTATTCTGGGTCAGCCCAGTGGTTCTGATCTTTGCCATGTTCCAGGGACTGGCTCCTGAACTGTGGCTGGCCTTGGAGCTCAGGGCCTGAAACTGGCCTGAGTCCTGCCTGGGTTTCTGGCCAGGAGTCTGGTCTTCTACCATGCCCCAAACACACCTCTTCAGCTATACAGATCTATTGGAGTTTTTAGGAAGACTTCAGCTCTCTCATACCTCAGTATATAATATTTTCTCTCTCCTTAGCAGCCTAGATGCTTGTTTCTTATCTTTTGAGGCCTGGCTCAAGCATCATTTCTCACAAAAAATCTGCCCTGGGCACTTGCCCCACCCCACACTGGTTAGGTGCCTTTCTTCTGCGCTCCCACAGTTCACGATACCTCTCTCTTCCACACCACTTACACCTCAGTGGCACTCTGAATTTGCTTAAAGGTAGGTCTCTGTCACAGTGCTTGGCACATAATAGGTGATCTAGAAGTTTTTACTGAATGAATGAACTATCAAACCCAGGCCTCACTTTTCTGCTCAGTGACCCTGTTTCTTAAAGCCCCTATTTGCCAGCAATGGAGCCATGCTTTATTTCAGGGTTCAAAGAACAGAGGAGGCAGCCCAAATGGGACCGATGCTGTTGTAAGACTCCAGCCACAACCTACAGGGTTTAATCTCACCATCAGAGAATCCCAGATACCTGTGTGTGATTACTAGCTGTTTAAATTCCATTTCTGAAGGGATGAGTTATTAAAGATTTGTGCATGGAAATGATATAAAGGCAAATCTTTGACTCTTGTGTAGACATTGTCTTCACTCAAGCTGAGGGCAACAGTCTGGCCACTGTGTCAGTCAGGGCTCAGGAGAGGATGTCTCTTGTTGGAGGGAGCCCATGAGGGGCTGACAGATCACCAGAACACACAGACCCCCGCCCACCTCCCCCATGGCCTGTGGTAAATGCTAGGGGGGGCGGGGGGAAGAGGCAGTTTCCATGGCAATACCCAGCCAGTCAAGATAAATATCTGTCCCTCAAGCCCCCACCTCAACCAGTTTTTTAACTCTCTACTAAAGTGACATAATCTTGGTGGACTCCCATGAGGGGATCCATGAGGGGGTCCATGGGGCCTTCAGAGCAGCAGGTGGATGTGGAGACACAAAGAGCACAAGAGTTGTCACCAAATGGCTGCATGGCTATCCAGGAGGCCAGTCAAAACCTGCATCAAACTGGGAGCCCCAGAGTGGCATGAAGAACTCAGGGCAGTAAGGGTGAAGCTCTCAAAATAATAAGGGATGGGTTCCTTGGATGTGTAAAGCTGGTTTCAAGTCGTCGTCGAGGTCTACCCACAAAAAGAACATCTTCAAAAATGACACTGATAATAAAAACTACCATGAGATACCACTTTGACCCAGTTAGGATGGCTATAATAAAAAAATGACAATCACAAGTATTAGTGAGGATGTAGACACACTGGAACCTTCATACATTTTTGGTAGGAGTGTAAAACAGTGCAGCTACTTGGGAAAACAGTTTGGGGGTTCTCAAAATGTTAAACATAGTTAGTGTATTACCCACAATTCTACTCCTAAGTATATATGCAAGAGAAATGAAAACATATGTTCATATGAAGACTTATACATGACTGTTTAGAGCAGCTTTATTCATAATACCCAAAAAGTACAAACAATCTGTCCATCAGCTGATGAACAGATAAACAAGATGTGGTGCACACATACAATGGAATATTATTCAGTCACGAAAAGGAATGAAGCGCTTCTACAAGCTGCAACTTAGATAAACCTTGAAAACATTGTGCAAAGTGTAAAAAGTTGGTCACCAAAGACATCAGTTGTACGATTTCATTTATATGAAATGTCCTGAACAGGCAAATCCATACAGACAGAAAGTAGATTGATGAGTGGTTTCCAGGGTGTTGGGGTCTGGGGAGGCCAGGAGTGACTACAAATGGGTACCTTTTTTGGGTGGGGGGAGGGGGAGAGGAGGGAAAGGCTGTAATGAAAATATTCTGGAATTAGATAACGAGGGTTGCACAACGTTGTGAATACACTATAACCTACTGAATTGTATACTTCAAAAGGTGGAATTTTATGCTGTGTGAATGATTTTTTTTTTTTTTAAAGGGGAAAAAATGACGCCAATAGAGGAGTTAGCGGAACTGAAACAATGAAATAGAGCACGAGTGTTGCCTGTCCTAGTCGCATCCATCCAAATGAACTTTGGGCCCAGGAATGGTGTATCAAGAAGACCTGGAGAAGGGACGCTGGAGGCAGGCTCTAGGGAGAAACGAGTCCCAGGACTCTGAGGAAACGCGATTAAGGTGGCGATTAGGAATCACTTACGAATGGGAAGGCGTCCTTAGGCTCAGAAGTTGGCCAGGCCCAGCAGAGAACTCAAGGGAGCACGGAGGCTCTTAAAGAAGCCCGGGCGAATTCCCATTCTGCGTCCACCTTAAAGCCAGCTCCCTGGAGCCACGGGTCAGACCGCGGTCAGTGTGCGGGGCCCAGGCGGGAGGGGCTCAGGCTGCGGTGCCAGCCGCGTCCAGCGGCCGGGCTCGCGCGCCCTGCGGAGTCCCAGGAACTAGGCGCGGGTGGCTGTGACTCCACGGGCTGCGTGTCCTGGAGCGTGGACGGAGGCCGGGGCAGCGGGGTCGCGGCGCCAGGCCGGCTCCCCTAGCGCCCCCGCAGCGCTCTATTTTTAGCAGGCGCTGTTGTAATATAAGGAATGCGCCGCGCGCCAAGCGCTCCGGGCGCGCGCGGGTGCACCTTAAAGCCAGCTCCCTGGAGCCACGGGTCAGACGGCGGTCAGTGTGCGGGGCCCAGGCGGGAGGGGCGTAGGCTGCGGTGCCAGCCGCGTTCAGCGGCCGGGCTCGCGCGCCCTGCGGAGTCCCAGGAACTGCGCGGGCGG